TGGATCATGTTCAGGGAGGTTGCTGTGGTCCAGTAACTGCTTGTCTCCTTAAATCTCTATGCTCTTGAAACTGTACTTGGAGACACAACAAACCTTCTGACAAAGGCACTGATTTATGTACTGATGTACCGCCTTATGCTACCAGTAGTGATTTACTTTAGCCGAATGCAAAACTATTAAAAACAAAAAGATGAAGGGGAAAAAAAAAAAAAAATCACACGTAAAACCATTTAGATAGATGTCAGTCTAACTACAAAATGATAACAATAATAAGAAGGAAATACATAGGGACAGATAAAAGATGTTTGAAAACTACCTTTTTCTCCTCCAGTTTTCGAAGGCTTGTGGATAAAAAGACACTGACCAGGCCAGAAAGTAAATCCAACCAATGACTTCACTAATTATGGACAGGACATTGCTATGGACAACTATGAAGCGGATCCTGACAGGCACACTGGAAAAAAAGATATAGCTTATGTACACAAAGAAACTGGACAGTTAATCAGTTAAAAAATAAAATGGCAGCAGACATCAGCCGGCCTCTGGTGGATCCCTCCATCCATACAATACAATACAACTTTATTTGTATAGCACCAGCAGTACACCAAAGTGCTTTACAATAAAAACAGGAAAATTCCATCTCATCGTGAGCATCATTAGCTCTGAGTAGTGCAGAATTAACAACTTTCTATCTTTTCAACCATTAGCTTATAACCATTTTGAGATCCAGACGTTTTGCGTGACAAAAGGGGACAAAGAAAACACATTTCAGTGCGTTTGTGCTCTGCTGCTTCAACCAATGTCTTGTAATAGCTTGTACAGTCTGGAGAGAATTAAAAACTTAACAGGAGATTCACTGGCACCAAGACTCAGTTTATAAGATTTGGACACCAAATTTGAAGAAGAAAGTGGTCACTTTAAGATATTCAATTATTGCATTCAGTGAAGGAAATTATTTTCTTTGCGCTGGACTGACACCCACCTGTTGAGCTCTGTGCTGTTGGTAACCAGATATGTGGTCACCTGACCAACATCATGGGCTGTCACATTAAAACTGACAGCGGTAGCTTGTACTGGCATCATGACCTAAACAAAAAACTCACATAGATTTTGGTCTCTGCCTACTGTCACAAATACATTTTGATAAAAAATAATAATTTAGTTTCATCAAACTTAGATAACCCAGGTCTGATTTTGTCTTATAAATTCAAAAAACAGCAGCAAAAGAGGAACTGGCCTATGATAATAGTTATGGACTCCATCAACCTCTGAGAGGCTCTTTTTATACCCAATCATTCTTTAACCTTTCTGTAATCAGAGGTGTTGTTGTGTTCATATTATGATATTACAAAGTTATTAAAAAAACAAACATCCAACCTGACTTCCTCAAAAGTATCCTAGCTTGAAATGTTTTGTTAAGCCCATGTTTTGTTGCCTCATATGCAGCATCATTTTTTCATGTTTGGTTTCTTACCTCCTCAGGCACTGTGATTATAGACGAGTAGTTTATCTTGGAGCTGTGTGTTACATTTAGGTGAATCACAGCTGACTGGTTGAGAGGGGAACTGCACAAAGACACGAAACACCAAAGGGAACAATACAAATGTTAACGCTTGCAATAACAAAGTCTATAGTAAATGCCAGTAGTAACACATCTTACTTCATATGGGTATAATATCGCTTCTCTTTGGTTCTATCTGCTATGTAATGTAGTTAACAATGGATTTAGAAAAGAAAAAACAGAAAGGTTGCTGATGACTGTGAGATGAAGTTCTGTATCCTTTAAAACTATGATGTAGCTATAAAAGTCTTGCAAATAATTCAATGTGTAGTACAAATGATAACTACAATTATTTCAATTAACCCAGAATCCAAAAAGGTTTTCCAGAATATAACTGTAAATGTATTACATGCTGAAAACACTGGTACTGTATACAGAATCGTTTTATTGCAATTTTAACAGGCTTTCTATTATTAAACACAGAAAGTACACTTATATATATCTACACTGGTAATATGGCTTATCTAAAATACTATTACCTGGAAGTAATAACGACGGCATTTTTAGAGTATTCCTCAAGTGTAACAGCCTGAGGAGCAAACAAACTCAATCTGGATTCTGAAGTACAAGCAGAGTGTTGGAGGGCAGCGTTAGTGTTAATTTCACATTTTATGTATTTTTCTGCAGTGAAACGGATTCATTTAATCATAACAGTTCATCACCAGACATGTTGGTCAACATCCAGAACACCAGCAGCTGAGCAGGTAGGCATCTCTTTCCCAAACCTTGGCCTGTCATCTCTGTAAAATTATGAAAACCTAAAGAAAAGAAAGCAGCCAGAAGTCATTGGAAATCAGAGCTATCCAATGCAATCATAATTATAGTGTAAGATAAGAGGATTAAACAGATACTTCAGGTAAAAATTAGGGGTGGGCTTTATACTGCATGTACGTGATCTATCGCAATTTTTTCCGTGTTTGATGAATAAATAAACCAGCTTAATTTCAGTTGTTTTATTTTGTCTCATGAATTCTTGTTTGATGTCCTTTTTGTTGCCGTGATCTTTTGTTTGTTAAAGGTCTAGTGTTGACCACAGAAAGAGACTTAATGTGACAGTATTGTCATTTGTGGAAAAACCTCTGTGTGCAACTGATGGTTAACAAATGGTTAAAATAAAACATTTCAATTCATTCAGACTTGTTGTATTCAAAGTTGAAAAAAATGGCCGATTTGAATGAGTATACCAGGGCAATTTTAGGCACTATAGGGTTGAAAATAAATATTTTTTTGGAGGCTTTTTAAACATATCATGATATATATTGTGTATCGCGATATATCCTCATATCGCCCAGCCCTAGTAAAAACTATTACTGAAAACACAATGTAGGCTGTAGATCATTTAATGTCTGTTATTCAAAGCCAAACACAGGTGAAAGTACAAAGGTCCTGTTTTTGTTTCATGTTTTAATAAGATTAATCAGATAAATATCTGTTTCCCGGGTTACCTGGATTTCATGTTAACTAGTTAGATTTGTTTACATATTTCACTCTCCGTGTTCCAGATGTTGCATCTGCAGATTTGTCAATTTCTGTGAGCAGGCTATATCATAGTTTATTTGACCTCACAAAAAAAAAGAAGACTGCAATTCCCAGGTCATGAAAATGCATATAGGTGTCAATATTATCTTCAGAGAACAATCCAAATTAAGCTAACTGCAAATGATTATAATACAGCTGCATTAACTCATTATATTGTATAAAATAAATAAATGTGCCTCATCATTCATCACACCTTTCATCACATCAGCTGGGCTGTTTGTTTGTGTTTATCCTCAGAGTGACTGATTTGATTTAAAATCGATAGTCATGATTTAAAAAGAAGACACTGAGTAGCGGATCACTCACGATGGAAACCAAAGTTTATCAATGAATCAGTTTGGAATAATTTCTTTCCAGTTGGCAGGTAAGTAAATGCTGTGTATTTCAGCATGAAACATGGCATAGAAAGTTTAGAAATGGAGCTGTAGTGCCTACCACTGATTTCATTGCTTCACCGACAAAAGTGATAACCAGCAGGTCATCCTAAATGCATGTCCATGTCAATATATTCTACGTTTAACATTACAAAACAGTATTTCGTTAAATATACTGTATTAAATTAAACTTGTTGAGCTGATTCATACCAGTATAGCTTAGTAAAATAATTCACAGTTGTCTTCCTTGATATGCTGCCAACCTGCTTGAAAATTCTTCTCTTTTGGATATATGGTGTTACCCTCAGCCTTAAGGCTGCATGATTTGGTATACCTGCCCTTGATAAGTGGTGATAGTCACAGTCCACAGTCAAAAACTTTGCCTCTGTCCTAAAACTATTCACTTCGTCTTCATATGGAGTGTTTGAGGTGAGCCCCACGTAGCTCTGCTTCTCAATAGTTGGATTTTACTGATGTGCAGCAGAAATAAACTGAACTGACGGAACCTCCCCCACATTTCAGAAAATCTAGGGGATGTACCACAAGGAAGTTTAATACAACTATCACTGTTAGTATAGAGGGGTTTTTTTTAGTATAGCGCACCAAAGCCAAGTTTATATAGATCAGACAAGACAAACGCATCTTCCAAGGAATCAAATGCATCAAATGAAGTCTAATAAAATAACAAAGTTGTCTGAGATAAAGCGATGTCTTCATCTTACCTATTTGGTCTGAAAGAACACGTACACACAAATAATAAAGCAATAGGCTTGCGTTAAGTAATGAACGAATAAATCTTTACCCGAACATATAAAAACTACTCGACAAAACACGTCCTCAGCTGTACTTCCCTAACAGATCACGGGATATCTTCTTCGTCCTATAACAGACGCTTCTATGTGTACTACTGCCCTCCGCAGGGTAACTCAGCTATAAAGATGCGTACAGATGAAATGGTGCTGCTGCTGCTGCTACATATGTAAAAGTGGATTGAATTGTTTAATGACGTTCAGGAACAAGATGTATTTTATTTTATTCAATCCCCACTGCAGCCAAGTCAACATACATTGTCAGATCGGCATGTATGCAGCACACTGACTGCACACATACGCTGCAACACCAGCAGTAACCCTAACCGTATGTCCTTACGTTAAATAAACATCATTCATTTACCGTTTGTCGTCTGTATTCTGAATTGAAAGCTCCACACAAGACAGAATTATTCTAGAGTGCGAATTATTAAATGCGTACATTTAATAATTATTAATTAAATATATGCTAATCTGATTGGTACGCTAAGATGACTGAACACCTCGGCGATTTAAGGAGCCAACCCACCACCACCAGGTTTGACTTTAATGTCATTTTAGTTACGTCAATAACTATAAAATACTCATTTGGGAAGCATGAGTAACATCGTACCAAATCGTAACAGAAAACGAAAATCAGAATCCCCTCGCCCCGGAACGTTTTTGGGCCATATACTGTTTCACTGGGACCTTTATTATATCAACTCCTGTGTCCGACCTTCTATTGAAGAGTTTCCTGTCACAGTTTAGCAACCTTTCCAATGCTCGACATGTTTATAACCAAACTTTGTGCTTCACGTGGTTCGTTATCAAGGTTAGACTGCTGTATTAATGTTTACAAATATATTTATTTCTTTTGTTGGTTTGGTTTTTTAAACATTAAACTCTCTTAGTTCAGACGAAGAGTCATTTTCAAATTCCGTTCAATCAAGGAGGCTAATGTTAACGTTATACTTGGAAAAGAGAAAAGTGTTGCTTAGATTGGATTTGTCTGTGGCATGCTTTTTATGTGTCTGTACTGATTTTCTTTCGTCTTTCAGTATAGGCAGCTGTGTTTGGCCTTTGTTCACCCGTTCAAATCGGCACGGCCAGGCTAAGCTGCTCCACACTCAGATTCCTCAGCTTAACTCTAACAGAGCGTCAGTTGCATGCTGTGGTCGGCAGAGATACGAGAGGATGTATCCTGTGATGTTAGTCCGTCCTGATGGGTCAACAGTCAGCATCAGATACAAAGAACCCAGACGCATCATAATGGTTAGTTTACCATATCTAAAAGCCAGTAATCCCCTGGCTTGCTGTTTGTCATGAGTCTTATAGATGTGCAGTCTCAAAGCAAAAAAGAAGAGATCATGTAAATTACATCATCACTGTTATTTTCTAAGACCTGTCATTTTTCAGTTAGATGACTTAATGAGCATATATGAATTAGAGGTGGGAATCACCATACATCCCACGATACGATATTATCACAATACTTAACGCACGATACGATATTATCGCAATTTTTAAAAATATTTTGCGATATTCAGATTCTGTACATAAAGGTAAACTTTATCAATATTCATTTTCTCTAATAACAAAGTCTCACACTCAGTCTTTCTCTCGTTTCAGTCAGTTTTATTGTTGACAAACTGAACGGTTTTTATTACAGTCTAGTCCAACTTAACTGAATGCAACCATCTGGTACAATTATAGCTATTCTGAACTATGCAATTTATGAAAACTATGCAGCCCATTCAGCAACTGAAGAATTTAAAAGTAAATTAAAACAAAATATAATTTTACATTAAATAAAAAAGTTTTAAACTTAATTAAAATAAAACATGTCTTAAATTAAAATAAGTAAACTGTCATGTTTATTCCTGCCATAAAAAAAGTTAAACCCATTTGGACAGTGAAGGAATGTCAGGATTCTTGCTCAGAAAAAGGATCAACATGCTCTGAAGTCAGAGCATGTTCCAGTCCACAAAAACTTTTTTGTAACAAAATATCGATTTCTGCTGTCCCTGTATCGATACATTATTAGCAAACAAAATATCACGATACTACACAGTATCGATTTTTTCCCCCACCCCTAATATGAATAATGTATGTATTTGTCTAAAAGAAATTTACAGTTAGTTTTTCCAACATTCTACTGTATACAACCCAAACCCAGCCCTCCACATGCTAATAAGAGGAAAGCAGACTCAATAGATAATAAAAAAAAAACAAAACAAATTGCTCAGGTCCTGTAGCAGAAGCCAGTGAGCATGTCACTTAATATTTTGCTTATGTGAGCTGATGTGTTGTTTTTAATTTTATTTTATTCATCTGTTTTGAAAGATGCCGGTAAATCTGTCTACTCTGTCAGAAGAGGAACGTCGAGTACGGCTGAAGAAAAGAGAAGTGAAGAAGCCTCAAAAACAAACAGGAGTCCAGTATGAAGATGATTTCAAAGTGGACAAATATAGCCACTTGTGGAAGAAGAAATAAGAGTTTTATATGCAAATGCAAAGCATACTCTTACAGTATCCATAAAAAATAAGTTATGTGTCTGTGTTTTGTTTTTTGTTTATTCTTAAGTGATACTGCAAAATGTCAGGGATCACCAACTGAATTGCGATTGAATTGTACTTGGGTAATGTCCACACCAGTTCAGTTTTTAATCCCCCTTGAAACAGAGACTTCTGGAAATACTGCTGAACTTGACAGTATTTTAGTCTGTAAGGCAGAAACAGACATTTCAAAACAGCAGACATTGATTGGCTTCTTGGATCTTAGTGAGTCCTTTCATGATTTGGCATACCCATCACATAAAAGAAAATGGCCTTGACTATGGCTACTGATGAATTTTATATATTAGTTGCTGAGCATGCTAGGGGCATTTTTGCAGTGAAAGGTAGAATTTTGTTATGCTACTACTGCATGAAAGAAGCATAGAAGGTATGTGTCCGTGTATGTTTTCAGTCATGTTGCTATGAACAGTAAAAAAATATATCTTGTTGTTTTATGTTGCTGTTTCCTTGTTTATTTTCAATAAAGTAAATTGAAAAGTTATGTAGACTCGTACCTTTTGGTTAAAAATAGAAGGGTAGGGGTTTTCATCAGGAACAACTTGAGTTTCAGTGAGCTTGTGTTCTTCCTACTTTTCCTTCCTATGATACTGTATGTTATATTCTCTGTTAGTGGTAGTTTGCAGAGTAGTTGTCAGGTGAAGGCAGTATTAAAAAAACTTGTCTGTGGGCTACTCTTGGTTGTGCTGTTGTTAGTTTGTCAGTCAGCTGCAGAGAGAAGCAAAGGTATGTTGTATAAAGAGCTTAAGAGAAAGTGTTAAGAACAAAAAAGAGAGTCTCCACTCAAACCATTGTCTGTACTTTAAACAACACTGTCATAGCCACACTGTTACAAAATGACCGTGATGTCATGTCATATCTATTGCAGGCTGACAAGTCATTTAATGAGTGATGGTGTTGGTTTGCTCAAAATTGCTGATGATTATTGGTTAGTTAGTCTAGTTAACTGTGTTTTTATTTTTTTTTGTTAAATGTTTTCAGATGTAACATATCTTTTCTGCAGTCTGATCTTTGCAGAGCATCTAAAACACAGCGACCTGATATACTGAAGAGTATATGAAGCGTTGAGTAAATTAGTCACGTATTTCATATGCGCATCCTGTGTATTTCTTTAAAGATTATTTTATATAATTTCAGTGCAAAATATACTTCCGTAGACATTACAACTATTCATTGCAATCTAGTTATATGCTAGTGCTAGTGTACTTACTTCACTCTCCAGCAGGTGTCGACAGTGCACCAGTGGGTTCGCCAGACGCCAAAAACCACACGAGCAATTCTCGCGAGAATTCGATTTGTGTCCTTGATAAGTCCGAAATGGGGTACTGGGACCTACCGGAAGGTACAGACTGTGTGGAAAAAACATGGATTACTACGAAACTTGGCACGGCTTTAGGTAACTATCGTTGGTGACATAATTACTTGCAAGTCATGTTGTGCAGGGTCGTGAAAGCAGGTCATCTGTGTGGTGGGTTAGTCAACGCTTTTGAACTTGCAGATTAAGATTGCCTAGCAAGCTACATACGGCTAGGTTTGCTTTTGCTAAAGGATGGACCTGGGTTTCCTAAAATACAAACATTCAGTGAATTATTTAGTTAGCGGTGCGTTTGCTTCAGCTCAGCAGATAATCACGTAAACCAGTACTGTAAGATTTTTAAATTACAACCTAGAATACCTTGAGATGGTAATGGGCGATGAAACAATACAGATGAACATGGCGCCATAGCGTTTCCTCGATACAAAAATCAGACACGGTCAATATGAAGTCTGTACGTGACTGTTTTGTTAGACTACACGAACAACCAACGACCGTGACAATAGCGCCATGCTCAACTAATAGGTTGACGCACACATGCTTTGTGGAATAACCAGGTCGTAATCTCCCAAAAAATGATTGCCGATGTTTCTGTGTTTGTAATATTTTTGCTTATATTGGTAAATAGGCTTTTGACGACGTGACTTACGAAGGGGCTACATATAAAATATAGAAATGACCTGTTTCGCAACCATCTTACTCACAGGTCTCAAACTTCAATGACTTGGCGACCACTGCTGGCACTGTCATCTCATTGGAAGCCCTCTGGAGTGTTTGCGTAGTAACAAGCCTTGAACTGTACTTGCTTTTATTAAAGTTCACTGTCAAGACCAGTTTCTCACACGGTTCCAAAAAGGGGCATTACACGACTGAAAACTCTGGACAGCTCTTGCAAGGATGAAGGGAACTCTCAGAAACTTTGCAGTCTGGTCTGCTTTTCCCTGTGCCTCTCGGAACTTAGTTTTCAGTTCACTGTTGCACCGCAAGTCAGTAAGTTCATTTTGCAGCATGCTGGGGACACGCTCATCAGCTGAGAAGGGGTCTGCAAAAAGCTGGACAGTGCTCTGTCTGTTTCATGCCACACCAAACTGCTCAGCTGCTGACGCATATCTCTAGCTTTGGTTGGGCCATACATGGGACACAAACTCAGCATTTCTTCTGTCACCTCAAACTAATGATCAACACCTCTGATGAAAATTGCTGAGCATTGTCAGTACTTTCATCAAGCGCCACGGAGTGGCAGTGAAACTTCGACCTTTGTTCATAGATATTACTTGATAATGTATTATTCCGCTCTGCCACGTTGTTTGCCGACAGCAACGTTGTTGAACAAACTTTTTTTTTCTTTCTTCCTCTTCATTGAATGGCTTCCCTACCTTAGCGATTAATTGACTAATCACATAACCTGCTTTGAAGGCAGCATCAGTGTCCTTACTGGCTTTGTGGAAAAGTTCTTGCTGGGATAGTAGTCCTCTTTGTAGCTGTTTGGCTCATTTTCTCCTCTCCCTTGTTCTTTCCATAATGCTCTCCATGTTTAGTCGCATAATGACGCTTGAGATTATATTCCTTCAGAATAGCAAGTTTCTCCTTACCTAAAAGGCACATCACCTACACCCAACTCAACAAAGAAATACAGCAGTGTCCATCTTTCCGATGTCGGCGTTCGTCATCCACTTTCCTTTTCAGTTCAAACGTCTTCTGCTAATATAATACTGCTAATTCCTTGAGACCTCTGATCTTAATGACCGTGTTCTATATTCTAATAAATCTTTTTTAGCCACTTAACATGTTTTATAAAGATATTTTATTTGTTGCAATTTAACAACAGGTAGAAATACAAGGGACCGAGACGAGGTTGCGGCCATGAGCGAAGCAACCGCTCTGGAGCCTTGGCGCAGCTTGATGAGCGAACCAGTGCGCTGGCCACGTCTGCATCTTGGGCAGTGGCGTGCTGCTGCACCTCCAACCAGAATTTCAGTTAGGTCGTCAGGGTCGATGAAAACCAGGGGAAAATACCCAGAGGAACGTCCAATCTCTAAGAGGTCCTCTATGGTGAAAGTAACGGAGAGGATAACAGCAAAACACGCAGTACAACAGGGTGGAAAGATGAGTGTCAGGGGTCATTTGTCACAGAAGGATTTCACAAAGGTGAAAGGGAAGGTTTACAAGACTTTAGTGAGACCTGCTATGATGTATGGTTTAGAGACTGCAGCACTAAGAAAAAGACGGCAGCAGAATATTTTCACTGGGAGTGATCAGAATGAACTGATTATAAATAAATACAAGTTGCTGTCAATTTAAAAACTCCTTCATACCAGCTGGTCTAAAGTGATTGTGATTGTCAGCCCTACAGCAAAACTGACTTTTTTTTTGTTTTTCTAAAGTTTCTTAATTTGTTTGTTTTGTGTGTTTCAGGGCTGGTTGGTTCAGCTTATCACATAGTGGCGTTCCAACCTGACTCTGCAGTGGCAGCGTTACAGAGGGCTACCAACTCAACAGTTACCATGGGTAAATGTATTGTCATTCAAAACTCCACAAGAACTTCAGTGTATGTGGTTTATGTTAAATCTGTCTGCATGTCTGAAAACTCCACTCCTTAAGGTCAGAAGCACTGAGATTTTTCCAGTTTCTTTAGTACTGGGAAGATTAGGAATTGCCGTCACTTTTGTAATGATTCACAGGTAGTGATAATGATAATAGTAATAATTATGATGATGATGATAACATTATCATCAACAACGACTGAGTAAGGTTCTTTATCTATACACAGTGATTTTCTATGATTCCATACTTTAAATAATTGTGTGAAGTAGGGCTGCACGATTTTGCATAAAATGAGAATCACGATTTTTTTGGCTTAGAATTGGGATCACGATTCTCTCACGATTTTCTTTTCCAGTATAAATATTTATTGCACTTATTAACTGCACATCAACTTCATAACAGTTGAGACTGAACATAAAAACAATAAATAAACATAAAAACAACAAATGTCTCACGTTTTGTGGTTGCCACAAAATGTTGTACTGCTTGAAATTCCGTCTCCACCGTTGCTCGACACTGCATGTATAGAGCAGGTAGAGCTGGGCGATGTGAGATTTTTTCATATCACGATATGTTTTTTTCATTTCAGGCGATAACGATATCTATCACGATATAAGCCAAATAACTATATTTGTAAGATTTAAATGTGCCGTTGCTCACAAGTGAAATGTGAAATAATCAGCAGCTTGTTTTTAAATATTTATTTCCCATAATAAGTTCAATAGGGTAGATGTACTTAAGGAACATGAGACTTTTTCAGATAAATAAAGGCAAATATTGCAAACTACACAAAAGGCAGCCGCTAAAGCGTTTAAGTTTCAAAATAGAACAAACGAAACAGACTAAATTGTCAATTCCACTTAGAAACAAAATATTAATTCTAAAAATAAATCTTAGTTTGTTTTACAGAAGAACAGACAAGATTGACTAACTTTTGTCAATATCAAATAAACTGAGAACTAAAAGGAAATTCTCAATCTCTCCTTGTTGTATAGCTTAACTTTTCAAACAGTTTTAACAGTTACTTTAGTCTGACAAAAGCCGAATGACGAATTAGCGCTTCCAGTCAGAGACTGAGGCTACGTCCACACGTACACGGGTATTTTTGAAAACGGAGATTTTCCGTTTTCGTTTTAAAAAATAATCCCGTCCACACATAAAGGCAGAAATGAAGGAAAACGCTGCTATGAACATGCCAAAGCAGCAGGTGGCGCTAGATTCCTAACCGTGCAGAAATGTTGGCCAATCAGAAGTCTAGAAGCCTCGGTGGGAAAAAGTAAACAAAGCTGGGGCATAGAAGCAGAACCGAGTCGTATGTGTGGACGGACAGTAACTGTGTGTATATGTAAGCATTTAAACACTGCAGAGAGTAGAATTAACAGTATTGTAGAAATTCATTTCACCGAAACAATAACGTGGCGCACAGTGTGACGCATGCACCAGTTTATTGTATTTCCACACTTGCTTTCGGCACAATTTACAGTGGCTACTCTGTTTTTTGTCAGACTTGAAATAGCCGAAATACCTTCACACTACGGAACTTCTTTGGCTCTTCCGTTCGACAATCTCTCCGGCATTGGAACCATCATCTGTTTTCTCTTCGGTCACGCTCGGTTGATTTTTCT